CGCCGGTGCGGGAGAGGGAGGAGGAGGGGAGGAGCTTCCGGAGCTGATGCGCAGCGCTCGCATCCGAGTGGCTGTGGCCCGAGCGGAACGGCGCCCTCAGCCTCCCCCCCCCCGTCCGGCGATGCCCTGACGCGGAGGGCCCTTCTTCGCCCGCGGGCCGACGCACCGCAAAGCGCACCCTGCGCCTGACGGGAGGTCAAGCGAGAGCGCACCACCCCACGCCCACCAAGCGCTCCCAACCGCCGCAGGTGGCAGGCCATTGATTATAGAGACAAACTGGGAAACAAGAGACAATGGCTCAATACATAAAAATATTACGACGGCCCCAAAAACTTGTTGCTCCACCCCCCGATTGAATAATTTTATTCCCCGCATGTTAACCTGCTATTCTAAGCGCGGTGTAGCACGCGTCATCGGGTCAGATTCCCGTTTCCTTATCCCCATACCAGACAAGGCGCGGGTGTCATTCATACCGTACGCCTAACAAACCGGGGCCCACAATCGTAACAATATTTTTTCTCATTGTATTTGGTAAGCAGCCCCTCTCTCACAAGCAGGACATAATACACGACAGCTGCACGCCCTTACTAAGTGCGAAGACGAAGCTGGTCAGTAATGGAGAGCTTCTCCTGCGGCCGTGCAGCTGGGGCAGAAAGCTGAGTAGGGAAATCTCGCCTCCAGCTAGCCCTACGTGAAGATCGACGCGCACCCTCGCTACCCCAGTGAAAGAGAAATCCCATCCACCTCTAGGACAAAAAACTCAAGTGACAACTAATGTGACCCACCCTATAATCTTGCCTGTCCGCGGAATCGAAACCGGGGGCACGGTAGGAAAAATCAATCACGCTGACACGAGGCTCGCAGCTGCATTAAAATCGTGTAATTAATGTCATATGTAGAATTATGAAATCCATACGAATTAGGAGGCCAAATTACTGATCTATTATAACTAATAGGTATAATATTAGTCTGATTCAGATGGTTATATGATACTTTCTCGTATAATGTTCGCATTTACGTAACTACACTAGCAGAAAGTTCCGTAATCTCGCGAAATTCGAATTCGCGGATTTCAGACGAAAGTATACGTTTTGACACAGAAAGAAATGTTGCGTTTTTAAACTTCCCGTACCGATCTGTCTGTCCGTTATGTCCGGCCGTGTGTGAACATCACCAGCATCATAAAATCATACTAGATTTTTTTCCAAAACATATGTCCCCGTATGATCATGGTTCGACTTTCGAAGCGCTGCGAATTGAAAAACTTTCTTCACAATTCTGGTACTTTTCATAATCCCGCCCCCCGACATTTTCAAAATTTCCACTCAAAAACCTGACTCAAATTTTTGTTTATATTATTTAATTATTTAATATTAATTAATTAATTATTTATTATTATTGTCTATGATAAAATTATTCATATCACCGAGTAATCTTACTTGTCGGATATGTCACAGCACACAGGATAATGATTGACCAGGTGGTGCTTTACTGAAGTTGCAACTGGCTTCTGACATACGGCATGTCATTTCAAAATTACTTACTTTTGCTATATTATATATATCTGTAATCCAGTAACGACTCCGTGCCGGAGTGTCATTTCGGGATCACTCCGTGCTAATATTATTATGGCACAGTGTCACTTACTGAAGTTCCACTGTTTGCGACTTCGTAGGCGAATGGATACTTCTGGATCCTCTCTTGATATTTTCCCGATATGTGGTGGCGATGGGTCATGATATATCTATAAGGCAAAACCTTCTGTTGTTTCTATCAAGACGTAGGACTATCTGGTCTATTCCGCCACATGTCTGTCAGTATAATGAACGCATCCCAGTGAGTGTTGACTCACTACTTCAAGCACATCTATGAGGCACGCGAGGAATTAGGTAATACGCACGGAATGCGAGTTAAGCCCTTCTCAACGAAACCAATTAATGGTGTTACGTGACTTCCACCAGCTTCATCATGGCCTTTTTGATTCCACCTGGGCGTGCGCTGCTACATCCACGTGTCAGTCGCGAGCGTTCGATAGTTTTCGCTTGCAGCCTCACATCTTTACACGAGTCGCGAGATGAATGGTAAGAATCTGCTCATAAGTTTTCGTGTTGTAGTTCAATTTTTACCACTTGTCCTGATAGCGATCATGAAAGGAAGCTCGTCTCGAAAGAGCATCCCCGTGCTGGGATCCTATGTGTGTGCGTGCGACGCAAAGAGATGTCACTTCGTTTACTCAGCACGGTAGAGGAGTACCTTTCCAGGCATATGCCTTGCTTTCTCATAGGTTATCTTCTCATCCGTGCAATACTTGATTAACCAGGCGGATTCAATGCTTTTTCCCCAAGAGTTCAGAGACGTTATAGTCTATCAAACTGGCGCTCAACTAGCTTATCTGAACTCTTCCCACAATTCTAAAGTATCTTCTGAGTGAACCAAGTTTGAGATTCTGTGTAGATTATATAAAGAATACCTACAAATACCTCGCCTTCCTTTCGACCTTTGAAGGAGGTAAAACGTCTGCAGTACATGTATATAGGCCGAAGATGATGTTTTCAGTTCGTGTGAGTCATAGACGTTTCGAATTGTCCTCTGGAGGTGTGCGAGTCGTATTGCTCCAATTTTAATAAACGCCCAAAGGAGTATCGTAGCACTGAATAGAACAAAATGAATTATGCCTGACAACAAAAGTTTCCAAGCAGATGAGTCTTAGTTTTAAGAGCCATGCAATTCGTTTACAGCAACTTCATTGTTAGTAGGTATTCATTGTATAGTAAAACGATTGATCGTTTGATCGAGTATGACTGGTTGAAACCCAATCTTATTTGTAACGTAAGTCGATCGATGTCGGGTTTCGGCAGAGAAGGTAATCTAATTCAGTTAACATTATCAGTTTCAAGTAATTATACGTTGCATATACACCCGAATGATTATCAACTCGCCTTGCGACATTCTTATCCAAAAACCCGGGACCGAATTTCATCTTAATTCCGTCAGTGAACTTCTTCCGTCCCACTTTTCATTAGTTGCCGGCAGTGATGACTGAACGTCATGTTGGTCTCTGCATTAGCCAGCTTAAAGTCCAGAATTCCTGATAAAGATTTCCTACTCTCTGCGTGCCCGGGGGGTGGTGGGTGGTGCTCCACCACCTCTAAATCTAGTGTTTGTCCCTGCTAACTTTCCCCTCTATCTCCACCAAGAATATTTATGCTCGACTTATGAGAATCAATAAAACATTTATAATAATTTAATTGGAACAGACTCAATGTGGTAAGCCGATTGTGATTTATATCGTTTCTACTCTTCGTAGGAGTTTTCAAGGAATATACAGAGAGGATCTTAAAAACAGAAGAAGTTTTTTAATCTGTGATTAAATACTTAATTCTAATTGATTCATACATTAAAATTGCTAAAAAAGGGCGCATCGACAATGTATCCGCCAGTGTGTGTAATATCCATCAGCATTACACATATATTCTCCCACTCATGGATATATTGAAAATATGATTATCTTAGTAATAGTAATTTATGAAATAATGAAAATTTATTTTTCTACTCCCATTGTCTTATTAGAGAGCTGCAACTCATTACATAATGGTAGTAGGTTCATAGTCATTGAGATCCTACTTCATTATAGTATAGATGTATGACCAATCACAGAAATTTACAACTAAGAAGTAATCATTCATTGGTCATTGTTCTATTAAATGTATGATTGTGTGTATTGCTCAACCGAGGCAAATTGTGAGGTGTGATGGTAAACCGTATATGCTCTGCCCTGATCCCAAAACTCAGAAGTAAATCGAAATAATTAAGCCCCCTATGAAGGTTGTCTCAATTATTAAGCTCGTAATAAATATGAACAAATTTGATGATATTTCTTAATAAATGAAATCCTAGCTTAACTCATGCTTTGCTCACTTGAATTAGGATTGTGTTTATGTTTAACCAAAGCAACCAGGAACACTTCATATTTGTCTAGCCTCTAGAAAGCGAGTCAGCTGCCGCGTAACCGTTCAATGTTATAGTTCAATTTAAAATACTTATCATTAATCGTTAAAAAAGTACTGTACGAAACTAGATGTCTTAGGTATTAATACTCCGCATGAAGTTAACGAGACTTGTTCGTTTCTCGATTTTATCGTAATGTCAACCCTTACTCGTGTAAAAATCACATCATTACATCAAGTCAAAATATTCAGTCGAATTTCAATAATTTGAACTTCTTTAATTCAAAATCTGTAATTCGAATTTTCTCCTTGGTCTCCAGCATTATATGTCTAAACAACATTACAATATCGTCGGTAATACGAATATTGTTTCCGATAATTCCAAGTTTTTACTTCCATAATACAGGATTTGAAATCTTGAAACTTGCGAACAAGCGAGACAAATTCGTTGCGTCTTTTACGCATCACTTCTCTTCAGCCGTTTTTGGGAATTGTGCCCTTTTGAGTAATCTTCCTGTTTGATTATTTGTCGTTTGTCTTGTAGTGTCGCAGGTATTCGATGTATTTTATACCTTCAGCCAGGGACACGGCGCCGTTAGTAATGGGGGTTTCCATGCGGTCACCCATCCAGGAATCCGTGGTGTCTAAAATTGCTTAACTTCATTGATTACACGGAGCTTTGATAAACAATTCGGCTAATGACCACGGCTGGAAGGACTTCTAAAGAGAAATTCCAAATATAGGTTTATCTCAAACTTTAACTCTTCGACGTTCATGATTGACAATTATGTATCTTTGACTTCTTAGATAAACAACCGAGCCGCGGAAGCCTACGTTCACATAACGTAACTTATCGAGTTATCGAGGAAGTAATTTGCGTTAATGAGGGTCACCTGAATTATTTTAAGATCTGTATGGTCTCTCCGATGAAGTCCTTCAGCGTGATTGTTCTACAGATGCGGCCATTTCGCCGTCGCGTAGGCGTCGAATCCAACGATGCTTCAATGAACCCAAGGCTTTCTATGGAGACAGTGATCACCAGCCTGGAGAGGAGCCTCAAAGACTGAATGACAGCCAAGATAGCAGCTGAATCGCCATTGGATGTTTTTACCCCTTCTAACCCACATTATAACGTACGAAGTTATTGAATAAAATAAAGAACGGATAACCAAAGAACTTTAGTGTAATTGTGTATGTATTAACTAGTTTAAGTATCCCTGCCTAGTGCCCAGATATTTATTTACAACAATCAATCACAATCCAAAAGGAATAAATTGAGTCAATAGTGTAAAATTGAAGTAATTGTCTAGATGAATTGCGGTTTGTTTTAAACAAAATAACATAAATTAATCTCTTTAGAGATTCATTTCTGGAAATTCCTCTCTTTTTGTTTATACCCGTCGTAAAAGGTACCTATATTTTAAACATGACATTTGTAGCTTTGATTGCTCCGATCAAAGCCGTGGAAAGGGCGACAAAATCCTTCCTTAAGACTTTTTATGAGCACGTCGAAAAGTTTTATAAGTAGCACTTTTTTTCGCTTTTAAGTGGCCTCAAAACGTGTATTTCCGTTAAAATCTCGAAATCGATCACCCACAGCTTTACATAACTTTCCATACACTATGTATATTACTTTGTATGTATACAGGGAAGTAAAAATCGTTTATTTTCAACGTAAAACATTTGTATAAAAAGTGGTATTTGAAATGGAGTTAATTGTGCCAGAAACCTCTTAAACATCCTTTTTTCCCCTTTTTTACTTTCTATAAATTAAGAAATTATATTATCTAATGGTGTTTTAAAGGATATTTTACTGAGGAGGTGTCTGCTACATTTCACAATTTCCGAATAGAAAATATTCTTTTTGGATTTTTTCCTAGTAAACGGGTATCTAATGACTTCATGGACATCTCTAAAAAGGCTGCACAGTTTTCTTTCATTTTTTGCGAGCATTGGAAGTTAGTGATATTGATTTCCATATATTGATTTCTACACTTCACTCTAAAATGAAAAGTTTTGAGTTGAGTTAATTTTATTTGCGCACCGACCAAATAGAATTATGTTCTTGCTTTCAAAGGAAAGCATAATTTATCGTGTAGAGAATACAAAGAATATGTAAACTGGCGGTCACTTGTTAAGACTTCCTGAACCACTATTTCTCATTCTCACCGGAAACCACAGTTCCTGGAGGCCGCTGTCAACGGCGATAAGCCGCCACGTGTCGAGACACATCCGGATCCTGAATTCTTAAATTCTTCAATCGAACAAACAACTCAAAATTACCGCAGCTCAAAAGCAATAAAATGAGTATAAAACATAATTCCCATTCTTTCTGGATTTATTTAATTTCACGGCAGTCGTACACTTCGTCCAATAATGGAACCTTAGTACTGAATATTTTCAAACTAGTGGTGCTACTAAATAGGACACATGTTCTCCTCTTACATGTAATCTATATTTTATCATTATATTGCAATTTATATAATACCAAAATTTAGCAGTCTCTTTGAAATTCTTTACACCAAACGCCAATAATTTATTTCTAAGGATCCAATCTGTAAGCATACTTTACCTTATTTACTCCATATATCACATCTTAAATGCCAAGTAAAGTAACTCACATATTTCTTGTTCCAAGATATTTAATTATTATTTGTTACAGAAAATTGAGTAGAACATTATTTTCTATTTTTTTTACGTATGTTTCTACTTTTTACGTATGTTTTAGTTTAACGCATACTAAATATACTGATTAGTTTTGTTGTTTTAGTATGACGGCCTCAATTAACTTCCACTATATGCTGGTAACAAAATACGAAATGCAGTTAAAAATTGTACTGGCGTCATTTTTGTTACTTAGCAACATCAACATTGTGATTTTCATTCAGTTCTTCACAATGCCTTTAACATCTGGCTGATAACTATTGTCATACTCGTAATTTCGCCCAGTTATAGAATTTGTACAAGGCTCTGAAAGGAGTGACACAACTTGTAATTCTAACAAATAAACAAGATTTACAATAAAATATAAAATGCATTTAACAACATTTCCAAATGTTTTTCTTACTTAACATCAATGTCGTCATTTCCATTTTGTGGTGATTTTTGATGTCCAGTTATAAGAACCTAATTGGAATTACACCACTTGTTGTTTGAAAGGGTAAAGGATTCGATTTCAAGAAAATATTAACTGCAGTTATTAACACTATCATTTTACAAATGTTCCAAATTAAATGGACAATATGATCTAAAGTAAAAAATACAAGAAATGGAAATGTTACCTATTGTTTAAAAGATACGTTTCGGAAACAACATAAGAACATATCCAATTGAAAATATAATCCAGGACTATTCCCCCCAAATTACTTATTTAACTCATCAGTTATCCAAAATATCAATATTGTCATTTTGACTCAGTAGCCCATTGACTTCAAAATCTTCACACAAAAGAATACACTTAATTATTGGTGATGAGCAGGTCATTACGGTGGTACAAAGGGCAAAATGTCTTCAATATCATTGTTTACTTCCTCGGATAGCACTTAACTATATATATAACTAATGTTGGTTAATTTAAGAACGGTAAACTCCGACACCGTGAGACAGATCTTCATGAAAGTTGTCACATGTACGTTTTTTTTCACCGAGAAGTGCTTATGTGCTGTTAATTTTGTATAAATCCACACAGAGAGACTCGGTAATACGGAGACAGAGAGGTACAAACAATTACAATCCTTCCTCTCACAAACAAAGGGCAAGAACGTAAAATGATCGTAGGAGTATGAAAGGCTTTTTATTTTTATTTTCAAACTAAAAATACTACGGATTTGTTTCCTGCTTTAAAACATGAATTATATGCGCTAAATTAAAGCTTATTGCAAACATCATGGAGATAAAAAAGAAATTGCATAAGCGTTGAAAGAGGAAATATGCATTTCCGAAGCGTTATCGCACGAGCTCACCACATGAAGGAACGATACGGCTGGTACAGTTGTCGAGCTTCGTCATAGTAGCAAACGCCAGTTCCTCCAGATTCGCGGTCGCTACCAGATGTATTTTCATGCAGAACGTAACGACAGTGGTCTTGACATCTTGGTCTAAGAATGTGTTCAGATTGCAATGTACTGTCACCTACGGTGCAAGTGTGTGAAGTTCGTTTGTAAGCTTGAGAAGAAGACATATCTGTTTCCTGGTCGGTATAATCAGATGTAATGAGATTTCTGTATTGTATGAGTGAAGAAACGTTTTATAAAAGGAACAGACTTTATCTTTACATAACTTCATAAACATACCGTCAATTTTAATTGACTTCATATTCATATCTTCATATTTTATGGGCGTCATAGTCCAGTGAAAAAATTCACGTGCTTCGCATCACAATGAAATTATTTGTGTTCATCGTATTAGGGGCCTTGCAGGTGGAGGTATCCCAAAGCCACAACGTAATTCAAAAGTGCTGTTTGAAGCAGGAAGAACTCCACGCCAACGGCCGAGACTGCGTCTTGAGATCTGCTGATCGTTCGCCAATAGGGAACATCGAGACGGCATCAGCGAACGAACTGGATATCGTGAGTGCACTACCAGAACCTTTCAATTTGACAAACTTAAGAATAAAGTACGAGGAAGTTTCACAATGCCAATTTAATAATTTTCTTTTATTAAATTTGAACGAAACCTCTCGGTTTACACTATCCGGCCTGACACTTCACGTGAACTTCACGGATATTTCTGGAGGTACATTTGAAAAAGTATTTGCCGAAACGCAGTATTGCTTGGATACGATTCAGAATAAAAATGATACACGCCTCGTAAGGGTATGCACGTCAACCTTGAGCCATGCTAAAAAGTGCTGCCCTGAAGGCACAAAATTGCGAAGGAACCGTTTTAATGTTCTTGAATGTATAAAAGATCGACGTCCTTGGTCTCTACAAGACTCACCGTTGCTAAACTATACAACAGGAAAAACAACAAAGGACGTTCTTGCTAACGTAATCTCTCTCTGCGCACCAGAAAACTTCAACACAACTTCGCCCGATTACTTGAAGATAAATAGTTCATTACATCCAAATCTTTTCCTGAATTCGAACGCCTCTACCTTCCTAATGTTTAAGTTCGTCTGCGTGGATCACTTGAGTGAATACGGGAAACATTCCGATTCCGAGGAAACGGTGGGCGTGTGCTATCGCTCGGACGCCTACCTGAAACCGTTCTTCGCCGTGCATCACCTGTGCCCCGTGGCCGCGCTCTTGCTGTCGCTGTCCATTGCGTGCATCCTGATCCGCGCGGAGCTTCGCAAGTCCCTCCACGGCCAGGCCCTGGCCTGCCACGCGACGGCGCTGCTCATGGCCAGCGTCCTGCGCGCCGTTTGGTGGTACTCCAACTGGTACATGCCAGACTACGTGGCTCAGTGCAACACTTTAGGCAAGTTACCAAGTAGATTAGCGTTTCACAGCAGAACTGAATAACAAATCTATATATTTAAAATACTAAATAAAACGCTGTAAAACACTTAAGTGTTTTCGTTTAGAAAGAAATTTGATCTTTCTATTTGATCAAATTTCGTGTTCTTTTATTTTAAAGCAAAGATGGTGTCTTAGATGTGCTTTCGCTTGTCCTTATTTGACGATTTTGAAGTATTAACGCTGTTTTAAAAATATGTCAAAATTAATAGAAAGAATGCTTATATGCTTTCATTTGATCATTAAGTCAGTGTTTTGTGCGAGTTGTAATCTATCTATAAATGTAAGACAGTATTTCGTCGTGTAGCGTGAGCGCATTAATGTAACAAGCATTAGTGTAGTTTTATAAGTTCAAAAACTGGGTGTTTTTAAATGCAAATATTAGCGAGTTAAATAAACGCAATGTCCAGCATTTGTTTCATACATGTATCCATCTACAAAAACAGTGATTACAATTATACGTGGTGCATTATGATTTTATGTAAAGTTGGATCCTGCGATTTCCACTGCACCATGTACAGATCTTGGTAAATATAAAACATTTCAATTACATTTTTAGAAACATGTTTAAAACAGTGTTCACAGTGAATAGGGATTCATTGTTCCATAATTTGTAAATCATCCTCATTTCATAGTCTTGTAGAATAAATATTGAACCATATGAAAAAATAGTTATCTGGTTTTCACATTTGAGTATTCCTAGAGATTTTTGCGCGATAATAGTAAGGATTCAGCTAATGCAATGTATTAAATATCTTAAGTAACCCGCGATTTCACAGATATTTACTTACCACTATCAGTTATCAGAAGGATACAGTAACGAATTCAATCAAAGGAGTACTTTGTTACTTCCCGTCCTGTATGTCACCGTTCCTGCTCTTTAAACGTCAATTAAATAAATTTCATAGATAACTCCATAAATGTAAATGTAAATATTTAAATACACGAATAATATAAATATAAATTAAACTATTTTTAGTTCAATATACATCAATATGTTATTTAAAAAAATTAATTTTCACATCATTTATTAGAGTCGTAAAGATTTTATTAAACCAAGAAATTCAAATTTAACCATAAGGTTTATTTTTTCTTATAGCTTACATTCTGAGCTACTTCATGGTGGCATCTTCCATATGGCTCAATATAATATGTATAAACACAGTTATAGAAATAAGGTGAGTACTGAATTTTGGGAAAATGCTTCTGGAATAACACGGACAGTTTACAAAAAAATTGAGCCAAAAGTTTTAATTAATAGACATAATTTCAAACTTCCAAAACGGTCTTTTTCAGACATGCGGAATCTGGAGGGAAAATGCCGCAATTGCGCAATATTTTATGGTATTCTGCGTACGGATTCCCGCTCTTCACACCTTATTGGTAGTTCTTCAACCCTGGCAAGAGAGTGAAAGCTCAAAACTCAAAGCTCACGTATTCCATACAAGAACATGCTTCTTTAAAGATGGTAAGTAACCCCAAGAAGTCCGAAAGTGAACTAAAATCCACTAAAAACATGTCAGTTTCAAAGTGTATTTTAACAGCTTAGCAAAAAAGCATAGTGCAAGCAAACAAAATAAAAAATCGTTACGTGGCATACCAAAACTTTTCGTGGTGAAAAAATGTGTTGTGATAAAATGTAGAATTGGGATATTATAATGATTGGAAAAATTGTAAGAATTTAGGAAATTATTTGAAATATGTATTTAAAAACTGTTAGTGATAAAAAGCAAAATTAGCAATATAATAGAATATTCATGAACAGTTGTGTAGCCTTTTGAATTGTAATTATTATTATTATTATTAATATTAATATTAATATTAATATTATTATTAATATTATTATTAATCAGTGATAATTATTTTTAAACCGTAAAAAGATAAACGTGAAAAATCTTACGGGTTTTGGCCCCTTTCATTAAATATCTAACATATATTTTCCCACCTTCTGCAAACACATCAGATATATGGACTTACTGATGAATCTTGAAACGAGGGCAGAGGGATCGACTTGACGAATGGTATAAGCCTGTCGGCGACGAAAATGGGAACATATATGTGGGAAAATCCTGTTTTCATTCAAACCATTGAATTTCCAAAAGCTGCAAAAGTTCCACTGTTTTAAATGTCTTTCACTTCTTTATTGAAACTAGAGATCTCTTTCTTAATACTTTTCCCAATGATATATTTTTAAATCAATTCAAATGGTGTCTTCTCAAAATATTTGTTATTTTTCGTGTAATTTTCGTTAAACACTGACAATTTTCTAGAAATACACAAACCCGATTTTCTCAAAATTGTTTTCAACTTCTTAAGAGAAAAGAACAGACCATTCATGTTTATTCTCTTTTTGGATATTGACATTGGCCCATCTTGCGCCAAGGCACATATGTATACTCGTACACTTTACCAAAACATCAAATTTCTATTCTGATTCCAATACAAAAAAGATAATTCTTTAAAAACATACAGTGAAATCCATACCTCTAATTCTCACGTGTCGCAAAATTATCTTTGGAAAGAACTGTCTTGAGAAATTATAATATGTCAGCATTTCGTCATAAAAATTACTTGTCGTTTATTTTCAGATGTATCAAGCCATCTCAAATTGGAAAAATTCTTGTATTATTACGGACCGATGACCGCCATCTTGCTGGTGAATATTGTGCTGTTGATTTATTCTATGACGAAGTGCCAGGAGTTGCAAAGCAGTGTCACCGCAATGCGAGGAGGGGAGAGAAAAGTTCGTCCTCTATCCTCCAAAACTGTGCCAGAGTAAGTGCAATAAATACAAACGAATTTAAAAGTAGTTGACAATTGTTTTAATTAATTAAATTATTTCACTTCCATTTCTTCCTCGAGATTGCTGCAACAAAAAATATCCGGTCACGTCAAATATCAGTCAGTATTATTAGAACAACGATATCTCCATTCTATTGGCGCGTTACATCATTAATATGCTGTATATTGCTTTAATTAATGCAAGCCGTTATGCACTTAGAAGTATTGTTAGAAGTAGTGGCCTGTATCATAAAAGGGTCATATTAAAAATACTAATAACATGTTTCTGCTTTCTGCGTTCTCTCTCTTCTGTTTTTTCCATTTCTTCTCTTTTTTATTTTCTTTCTTTATATTCTCTTTCCACTTCTCTTCCTCAATCCCTTCTTCTCCTTTGTCTTCTTTTTTTATTTTCTTCTTCTAATTGTTCTCGTTATTGCTTTTCTGCTACTGCACAGAACTAGCACAGAACGTGATTTTTAAATTCAAATCCACGGGGTGTGGAGTCGATGACATTCCTCAGTTTAGTATTCAGCAGCAATTCATTCAGTATTAATAGTCGAAGATAAATAGATTTTAAATTAGCCTCCTAAATTTTCAACCACTGAGAATGATTTCTATATCAAATTGCAAGCCAATCCTAGCGCTGGAACGATGACACAGCTAATATATGCATAGAGATTTTAATGTGGCGTGACAATTTTAGGGTTTGCTGCAAAATCTAAAGCGACGTTTGTTTAAACGTCAAGCGGATAGTCTAAATTGGCAATTGACAATTCACTGCTATTCGCGAGCCAAGCAGAGCGATTGAACATTGATCAATCTAATTTCAATACATTTTTTAGATACAGATTTTGTTAAGTATGTTTACTGCACTTGTGTAATCAAAATTTTCATTAGAATTGCATCTTCATTTGGTATTTATTTAGTTACAGCCTGCACGTGCTTCACGAATTAGAGAAATGCAGATGCACACAATATTTTAGTGGAATAACATCTTAATTTTGCCTCACTTTGACACGTTATTTCAGAAACTTTCTGAACAACGCATATTATTTTTTAAATACGTATATATTTTCTGTAATATTCTGTTTTTTAACGTGGGAAGATGCCGATGCAACCAAAATTATCAATAGAAAGGTTTCTGTTTTTGCCCCGCTTTAGAAAATTATTTCAATAACAGGCTGTACGTCAATTCGCGAAGGAAAGTGCTGCAGCACACCAAATTTTTTATCGGTGCAATAACATATCCATTCTGCCTTTCTTTTTAGGCATTATTTGAGTAACATTCTATGGGCCAGTTCACCAAACAATGAGAAAGAGTTTACTCTGGAGTAAATCATATTTACTCGAGAGCAACTTCTTGGAGCGTTTCACTTTACTCAAGTGTAAATCGCTTACACGAGAGTAACTTTACACTGTGAAAATTCTTCGGGTAAAGTACGGAGTAAGCTTAGTTTTCAACGTGCTTGTACCTCAGAAGAGTTGTTATGGCTCGACGATTACGAATGATAGTATTTGAAGACGATTCCAGCAATGATTCGGAATATTATCCACTAGTGCGAAGACAAAAGCTGCGGGGAAATGTATTGGTTTTAATTGTAACGATCGCGAGTTTGTCACGAGGTTATGTTTCACCAAATCAGCTGTTAACTTCATCACATGCATTGTAAACTGTAGAGAACTTGTAAATTTCTGTTTCACCATGTAGATACGAAAAAAAGGTAGTTCGTATCATATACGATAACAAAAAAAAATAATAATTACGGGGACTACAAATACTAAGAAATATTTATTTAGTAAAAACTGTATGTGACGTGATCATTTGCGCACGTTTTCTTGAATTCCAGAATCCCTTTCCAACATTTTAACTACAAATGGTTGAAAGGTGAATAGAAGTTTAACAAATAAAACAATAAATACTAATAATAATTTTTTTAAATTAGGAAAACGCGAGATCAGCAACATTTGAGAAACTAAACATTTTCGTTCCCGAGTTACAGAAAATTTATTTGTACCGCCATCGGTAAACGAACTGCAAATTTGATTTTTTGTATTGCTAACAAAGTAGTAACTCATCTCCAGAGAAGAAGAATGAATATTTATTAAGAAATAAACATACAAAAACTAACAAATAAACTATGCTAACTCAAATCACCATAACACCACACAAGATAACGCCAAGACACGGCCAAGAACTCCGAAACTGATATGAATGATAGAATATAATGAACATATTATGAATTAATCAGAGGTTTGCGTGGACCGTAGTGGTTCCCAGCGTCACTCTCGCTCACAGCCTCTTGAATCGCTCTCAAATATTGCGCGTTCAGCTGATTCGCGGAGTAAATCGGAGAGTATATACTCTAGAGTAAAATAACCCTGTAGAAGCATGGTGAAACGCTCATATTCTACTCGAGAGTTACTATCGTAAATGCTTACTCTCGGGTAATTTCTCTCAACTTTACTCGGCTGTTGGTGAAACCGGCCCTATACATTCTTTAAACGCTAGCAAAAGTTTATGCGCATAAAATTATAAGTGCTTTCCTTTCACTTATATTAGGAAACTATTTCAATTTCGAAACTTTCCATCGCAGAAAAGATTACTTAGGAAAGCATAGACGTACACAAAACTATCAGCGGAATAGCATCTGCATTCCGCCTCGCTTTCAGGCGTTATTTCAGTAGCATCCTGAATATTCTTTAAACACGAGTGAGAGTCGATGCACACAAAACTATCAATGGAATGATTATTGCATTCGTCTCAGTTTAGAAAAACATTTCAAGTTCTGTCGTTTCGCTTTCTCAGAAAAGAATGTCCGCTTTTCGCAGAAAAATGCTAACGTCCACAAATTATAAGCGGAATAGCATCTGTATTCTACATCGCTTTCAGGTCTTATTTCAGAACCATTTTGAATATTCTTTAAACACGAGTAAGAGTTGATGCACACAAAACTATTAATGGAATGACTGCTGTATTTTTCTCAGTTTAGGAAAACATTTCAAGTTCTGTCGTTTCGTTTTCGCAGAAAAGAATGTCCGCTCTTTTCGTCGACCAATTATCAGTGGAATAAGAATCTGCATTCTGCCTCGCTTCAGACCTTATTTCAGTAGCATTCTGAATATTTTTTAAACTCGAGTGAGAGTTGACGCACACAAAACTATTAATGGAATTATTATTGAATTCGTCTCAGTTTAGGAAAACATTTCAAGTTCTGTCATTTCGTTTTCGCAGGGAAGAGCTAACGTCCACAAATTGTCAGTGGAATAGCATTTGCATTCTACCTCGCTTTCAGACCTTATTTCAGTATCATTCTGAATATTTTTTAAACACGAGTAAGAGTTTATACAGACAAAACTATCAAGTGAATGACCACTGCATTCGTCTGAGTTGACTGAGTGAAGTTCTGTCGTTTGGTTTTCGCTACCGTCCACTGATATCGCCGCTGCGCGCGCGTGTGCGTGTGCCGCAGGCAGGCGCTGATGTACGCGCGGCTGCTCATCAGCGCGGGCGTGGGCGAGACGAGCGCCGAGATCATGGCGTGGGCGCTCAACGACCCGGTGCGGCACGGCCCCGGCGGCTCGCGCCTCGCCGAGCGCCACCTGCTGCAGCTGGAGGTGAGCGAGAAGGAGTTCACCTTCTGGATCCTCGCCACGGCCTTCGACTTCCTGCGCGCGCTCTCCGTCTTCATCCTGTGCTGCCTGAGCCGCCGCACCGTGCGCGCCGGTCCACACGCCTTCAAGGCTTACGCGCGGCTCGACGCCCGCCTCCGGCGCCTGCCCTGGCCCTCGGCCGCCCGCACGCCGCGGCCGCGCGCGGGACAGCGTGCTCGCCATGGAGCCCTGACGACGCGCTGACGGGTCGGGTCGGGTCGGGACTAGAACTGGACGGTACGGCAGCGGTACGGCTCGATACGGCCACGGGACGGCACGGGACGGCACGGGACGGCACGGGACGGCACGGGACGGCACGGGACGGCACGGCACGGCACGGCACGGCACGGCACGGCACGGGACAGCACGGCACGCACGGCACGGACGGCACGGGACGGCACGGGACGGCACGGGACGGCACGGGACGGCACGGACGGCACGGGAACGGCCACGGGCGGCACGGGACGGCACGGGACGGCACCGGACGGGACGGGTCGGCGCGGTCGGGTCGGCGCGTGTCGGTCGGGTCGGCGCCGGGTCGGCGCGGCCGGGTCGGGTCGGGTCGGCGCGGCGGTTGGGTCGGCGGGGTCGGGTCGCCGCGGGTCGGGTCGGCGCGGGTCGGGCGGCGCGGGTCGGGTCGGGGGTCGGGTCGGCGCGGGGTCGGGTCGGCGCGGGTCGGGTCGGCGCGGGTCGGATCGGCGCGGGTCGGGTCGGCGGCGGGTCGGTCGGCGGGCGGGGTCGGTCGGCGCGGTCGGGTCGGCGGGGTCGGTCGGCGCGGGTCGGGTCGGCGCGGATGCGGGTCGGCGGCGGGTCGGGTCGCGCGGTCGGGTCGCCGCTGGGTCGGGTCCGAGGCGGGCGGGGTGGGCGCCTCGGGGCAGGGCCGGTCGTTGGCCCTGAGCACCAGGTCCCTCTGTTGCTCCGAAATCATATTGTTTTATTGCCCCGTCAAATGGACTTCAACTGTCTTTGGGAAAGCCAAATGCTTCAAATAGTCGCCAGGAGGATGTCACATCAATGTTGTCTCCGAATTGTGTTCTGTTGGAGAATGAAATGTTTTAAAAAGTTGCTCTAGGAACAAAAATTGGTGTATTTTGGTCTTCTGAAACGATGACTATTTTGGTAATCCATCAATCGTTATTAACTTTGCAATATAAATGAAAACTTCCTAATTGTGCTCCAGAACACTTTTCTTCTTAATATTACAGGGAGAGGCAGCGCTAAGAATACTCTGCACCGTCTCAGACTTTTAAGTAATTTTTTTTACCGTCGCTTTAATAATCTTTAATTATGAATCATTAGTACAGCTTTTCAAGTCCTTTTACAATTCAGCTTGTGTTTTGTGCTTCAAGAAGTATCCTTCTTAGTAACATAATAGGACTGCAGTAAAATAAAATATTGAGTTAATTGTACTGATGCAACCCAAAACCAGAACTTAGTGTCACTACACAATGTTCCTGTATGTAGAGCAATTGAAAGATATTAACTTTAGTGTGTATGCTTGAATTAAAACATGTATTTGTAAATTCCTATTAAAACATCATACTTTTACATTTTAAAACCTCTTTATAATTACATAAAATGTAGAAAAACTACCAATGAACAACAAAAAGCTTTTTCTTTGTTTATGTCATTGTAATTTAAGCGGTAATAAATAAAAATATTCATCAGCATAATTTTAGTATGATTTATTAAACTATTTTTAAAAAAATATTATAATAAATTATTAATATTGTTCGCAAAGATGTCAATAAGTGCTAACACGCTGAAGAACACATCCCATGAAACTAAGAACATCATAAGTACAAAATCATCTATTTAGAATAGGAGCAAATAACGAAAATATTTTTCGTAATGGCAACTGTTTTGGACTCAATTCTTGTAGAACAACGATCCAGCGCAAAAGTGTTGGCTTAGGTGCTCAGTTTCTGTATATGCTACTGTCGTAGTGATTAATCTGCTTGATTTACATTAATGCTTTGGATTAAGTATCAATTCATTAAATACAGTCGATTTCAAATTAATGTTTCATTATTAATAAAGTATAATAATGTTTAATAGAAGTAATAAGTTCAATATTTTATCTCGAAAATAATTACTATAGAACACTTCCGCCCCATTCCATTTTAAGTTACATAACGTCCTTGGATTCACTGAAACATTCCGCTAAACATACAGAATATGAATAATAATTAAGGGTTTCTAGTAATTTCACATATTCTGCAACATTAATTAAAATTCGGGGCCATTCCTAAGACGGATTTAATTCTGGGGCGGATTGGCAAATCCAGAAACTATGCCCAGGACATGGGCACGTCCGGTTGATTGATTGTTTTAGTGATTCCTAGCCCGTCAACTAACAGAGTTATTGGCCCCGTACGTGTGACGGTGATCTTTCCCTCTCTGTACGGCAAGATCCGGCGCCGACGTACCGTCGGCGAGAGGGGTTTCCAAACCAGGTACCTTCTACCTGCGGGGCACCACCTCAGCCGGGACAAACCCTCCGACCGGTCTCCCGGCATGTGTGCTTGTGTAGTGCGTGTTAGTATAAGTGTGTGTGTATGGGGATAGGATAAGACAAGGAAGAGGTAGGAAAGATCGCGCGTGTCCGTTTGTTACGGTACTGCTGCGACATTCACCCAGTGTTGTTCGGAGAAACCTGTGAAAACTACCAATCAGAGCAGCCGACCACTAGAATTCTCCTCCAGACAGTCCACTGAATTTGACCTAGCTGACAAGCTAGTGACGAAAATCCTGCCACCGTCGGGACTCGAACTTAGGACCTCTCGGTCAGAGGGACATCAGTTGATGAACTGAGCCGTCTCTTCCAGTGGGAACGCCCAGTATCGTTCGTCACAGGGGGCAAACTCCACGCGAGGAGCGCAAGCAAAAAAGAGCCCGTGAGTGCGGAGCGCCTCCGTGCCCCCCCCCTCCACGGCGCAGGGTGCCTGCGAGGGTGAGGGCGCGCACCGGAAGTTCCCAAGCGACTTAATTCAGCCGCCTCCGGCAACGCCTCACGCGCTCATAATCGCATCCGAGCCGGAAGGGGCGCCATTGGCCCCGCCCCTGCCTTTCCTTTCACCTTCTTCCCTGCCTTCCACGCCCGAACCCTCTCATTTCACCCTGCGTCGCACCCCCCCCCCGCCTCACGCAGGGTTCCATCCCGCCACATGGCACCCCGCGCCGGTCTACCTTCCCCTACTCTCCTAACCGTCTCAGCTCACGTCGAGTCGCGTATCACCGCTGTCTTGCGCTGGGGTCCATCCCGCCTTGCCCCGTTCCAGTTCACGATGCCCTGTTTTGTCTACATGCCCTAAGCGTCTCGTTTCACCGCGCGACACTCTTCCTCGCTGTCTCGCGCTGTCTCATCCCACCCCCACATGGCCCTGCTCCCACCTCGCACTGCCTCGCACCGATCTTCCGAGCCCCCCATGCCCCAACTGCCTCATTTTATCCCGCGTTGCACGTCCCCACTGCCTTGTGCTCGGCCCTATCCAGCCTTAGTTCACCTTGCTATTCCCCGCATCGCTCTGCTCCGACCCACCGCACGTTGCTTCTCGTTGGGTGCTTCCCTGTCCCGTCTAAATCCCCACTTCTCTCCGACCGGTCGCATCGCAACCATCTCCTCTGTGAGACCTCGCTTTGGCTTAATATTTAGATCTTACTTCGCTTAATCTTTATATCTTCTTGTCAAAACCCATCGTCATTCCCCGGTACGCCTTTTAATTCCTAAACTATATCGTACATCTCATACACATTCACATAACAAGATTAGGACCCTTCTATACTTACCTTTCTACTTTAGGTTTCCGTTTATATTCATCCATGTATGTTCACGAAGTTCCTTCCTCATTCTCATCTCTTCCAAGATGGGCCTAGCAAGGATTTATGGTAGGAAGGGAACAATAGAGACCAAATTTTAATAAAATAAGGTTTTCCTATGCAAAGATAAAGATAAGCTAGAAGACCCGATTTTAAATCTTCCGTAGTCCAACTCAACTTTCTTAGTTTCAACAATATTTGCCCTTTCGTATAAGGTGCAACGTTATAGTTTTTTAATATAATTATGCCTATTTTATTACATGTATCAGTTTTGTATATTATTTAATTGTTTTAGTGTTTCTTTCCCTATTTTTAGGCGGAAAGTGGCACACAAGTAGAACTACACTGTGTAATGTGGCCAACCTACTTTAAACGTTACTAAAATGTAATAAATCCTTGTAATACGACTCCGCGTCGCCTTTGGTATATTCCTGATATTTTCAATGTGGTACATCGAAAATACTCTTTTTCAATTTTCAAAAAAAGTTATTTAATTGTTGTACTTCCTACCCAACTTTCTGGAGTGGAGGAGACATACTTACTCTATGCGGCCTAGAGCGGTCAATTTACTCTCTACTAGACCTCATATCTTTAAACCTTCGTCATTACGTTTTCTCTTCCCCGCTGATGGCACATCGCACGCTCCCGGTTTCACCTTCTACCCGCAGGCCCTCCCCCGCCCCTCCCTCAGCCCTTCGGCCGATGTCGATAATAATCTCGAAACGCTCGAGGCTGCGGATTGGGATCAATCTACTCTACTTGATGGTCCACTCTTTACTTCGTATTTGGAATCTACTGCGGACAATCTACTCTTTACGGTGGATTCGAATCAATTTATTCTGTACTGCGGATTCAGATCAATCTACGTATTTTTAACTACGTATTCAGAATCTACTGCAGACAATTCTGCAGACTGCTCTCTACTATGGATTCGAATCCACCTACTCTCTACTGCGGAGTCGGATTACTCTATTCTCTATTTTACAGCGGTTCAATCTACTCTCCACTCGACCTCATATCTTCAAACCTTCATCACTACGTTTTCCCTTCGCGTCGCGCCCTGCCTCGGCACATCGCACGCTCCCCGTTTCACCGTCTCCGGCAGGCCCTCCCCGCCCCCCGCCCCCCACCCGTCGATAAAATCTCCAAGCGCTGGCCGCGGCGGATTCTGAGCACCCGGCGCAAGTATGCGCATCGCAATATCTATAATTATTATTACCGCGGCGGGGCAAGGGCGCCGGGGAGGAGCCAAGGTGGCGGCGGCGGTGGCGACGGCGGCGGGGGCGAGGGTGCGGCCCCGAGGGCGGGTGCCAGAGTAGAAAGTTAAATATTAATTAAACTAAGGCCGCAAACATGCCCAGCATTTAGAGCCCCCCGGCAACGGGCGACGCGTCGGCGACGCGAAACTTTGGAAACCGCCGCTGCGGAAAATGAGGGTGCGGCGCGTGCTCC